CCCCAAAACCCCAAAACCCCAAAACCCCATAGATAATAAAATTCTATTTAGGTTTGAAATTGTTGATAACTTAAATTTACAATAAATAATTCCCTCAAATAAAGCCAGATTTCAAAACCTAAAATAGGGTTTCTTTATGAAATTGGGAGGAGGCATTTTCTTTCCTTCAGCCATCTCTATCAATCCTTCTCCATCATAACTTAAGAGTGTATCAACCTCTACATGAGCATAGTCACTAGTTATTTGAGCGCCTGCATTCTTTAGCCATCGCACACTCTATTAAAATATTAGATCTTTAGCACCTTATGGTGTCTCTGAATAGTTATAGCTGTTCATGCCAATAGTCAGCTTGTTACTATCCATTTCACTTACAGTGCTATTATTAAATGATGTGTTGCTAGTTTGATAAGTTTTTGTTCTCAAATTATCAGCATAAATTACAGGAGCATATTCATCTTCTCTATTAACTAAGAGGATTCCAAATTTATCTGGTTCTACAAATGGCAGCATATCTGTCAATCTAAGCTCAAATTTATAAGCATTATTCTGCAATGGCTTCACTAGTTTCATTGTTTTAAAGTCCCAATAATTATGTCTGTGGAAATCTTGGTAATATAGATAAGACAAGTTTTCAGCATTTGAGCATAATTCAGATAGTTTATCAGCTTTTAGCATGAATATGTTCATATTTTCTAGAGCTTCTTATCTAATAGTATTCAAATCAAGGAGGTCTTAGTTATCCATAATTGCAAACCTCTAGTCTTTTATGACAAAAAGACCACCTTATGGAAAATAACCTTTTCTTTAAGTGCAAGCCTTAACAGTGACATAATTGCCTCTAAGTTAAGAAAAACCAATCATAAGTGGATCAAGGACCTTACTTATAGGGTTATCTACATGTATAATTTAAACATACGAAATAGAATCTATGATTTCCTTAACCCTGATATTATTGTTTATTGCATCGAATATGGCACCACTTCCATTAGGAGCAAGAACTATTTTATTTGGTTCTTCCATTATTATCTTTCCATCAAAGTTTACAATAGGCAAAACTTGCTACTCAAAGAATACAATACTCTCTTTACTTGCTCCAAAGTAATTATTGAATTCAAAGAACTTTTGAATTTCAATATGATTCAAGGGATTAGTCATCACCATAAATTTGCAATTCTAGCATTCATCAGTGAGATTCTTTGAATTGTGTGCTAACATCTATGCTTTCAGGAATTTTTCCAAAAGAATTTGAAATATTGATTTCATAGATGGCAAATTTAAGCTGTATTCACCTTTAGATCTATCAAAGCCAAGTCTGGCACCCGTCCCACCTGCCAGAACGATCACAGCTACCTAGCCATCTCTTATTAATTCATATCCCATTTCAATAGAATTTTCTCTCTCCTCCTCAGTAATCATTTCCTTTGACTAAATTGCAGTATCGTTGACTGGCATAATAGATTTCTTATCATACTTTAGAGTAACAGTTTGTCCTTTCCCTACCACGAATTCATCATAGAGGGAATTAATTAATGGTAAATCGACTAAATATGCATCTCTCGTGAGAGTTTACTAATCTCCGAATTCAAGTTTATTAAAGAATGAGAATACATGGCCCTATTTGTTTTCCTCATAAAATTATCTTATCATTTTTTTATCCTGCAATGAAAAATGTGTAGTAGTTTCTCGAAAACCTCTAGTCTGACAGCAATTACCCATTTATTTTTTATTTATATAACTACGATAAGTTTGCAATTTGATTTTACGGGGTTTTGGGGTTTTGGGGTTTTGGGG